CAATGATTGCAGGAACAAGTTCCATTTTCCAAGTCAACTAGAACCTGGTCATCCTTCAGCTGCACTTCATAAGTCTCATCCCTGGCAGCTTGAACAATGCAATTCTTAGACACATAGCTCATCCTTTGAAATAGCTTATGAACATATGGAGTCAAGTTGCTTGTGATTTCCTTGGAGTCCTCCCACTTCTCATTGTTTCTCTTCATCATGTACCTCCTCCTCCATACCATTTGGGTGAGGATAGGTTTGTCTCTTGCATCTCTAATAACTGCATTGAAAGTCTCACACATGTTGTTTGGTAACATGTTGGACCTGCAATTGTCACTGAATGCATGTCTACACCAGTGTTGAGTGGGGATATTGTTCAAGTAATCATAAGCCTCCTCATCAAGCTCCTTAATCTGTTGCATTGGTATAATACTCAAGCTATAAACACAACAAGAACAGTGTTCTAGTCAAGCTCTTAAATTTGTTCATAACAATCTAAGCTACACATACAACAAGAACAGTGTTCCAGTTTAAAACAATCTAAGCTCACTGAATCCAGTTCAATTTCATAGTTTAATTTGTTCAAAATAATCTAAGCTACAAACTTACATGTGTTGTTGCTCTTGCAGCACTCCAAAAAAGCTCCTTGAAAACTGATACAGTGAACTTTAACACAGAACCTTGTTTCTGCATTTGGCACAACTTGAGCTAGAGCTTCAACCAGTCCCTATTTAACAGCATCCAAATACATTTATCATACTTCACAAAATAAAGAACAGGACACATAAAAGACTAGAAAAAAAACAAGACAATTTTACCTTCTGCCTGTCTGACATGAAGGTGAAGCCTGACCCATCTGCACTCCCAAGGCTATGCATCAGTGATTCCAGGTTCCAAACCCAAGTTTCCATGTTTTCAACCTCACAAGTTGCCCAAGCAATAGGGTAAATGATGTTGTTTCCATCTTTGGACACTACAACTAAAATCTGCCCTGGGTAAGCTCCTTTCAAGTGGCAGCCATCCACCCCAATGATCGGCCTACAACCCTTCAAGAAACCATCTTTCAAAGGCCTCAAACAAACATACATTCTCATAAACAAGGGAGGCTCAGGCTGCTCAATGCCATCTACCACCACATTACAACCAGACCCTGGGTTGTATTTCATTATAGCCTTCCCATAATCCCAGACCCTTGCATATTGCTCTCTTGCTGAACCAAAAATTATCAACTTAGCTCTACATCTTGCCATCCAAGCCCTAAAGTAGGTCACTTGAACCCCCAGGTCTTGCAACACCTCAAGGTAACTCTCTGCAATGAACTCTGCAGTGACCTTCTTGTTCTCCCTACTTCTCACGCATCTATGCTTTAACCTCATGCTTTTTATTTTCCAAGTCTCCTATCTAACTAACTTCGTAGCATGGATCTTGAAATTGCACTTCACTCCACCTTTGCATATACACAAAGGCATCCTACTTGTCTTTGTGTCAAACTTACAGCCACATCTATTCCTACACTGAATAGTAATCCTACTACTATCATTGTGTAAAAAGTAGTATTCATACCTATTCTCAATGGCATGCACTCTTAGAGCTTTCCTCAAAACTTAAACATTGCTGAACTTAAGCCTATTAACAAGTACAACAGGCTTAGTGAAGTCAATTTTCTCATTAAACCAAGGATTGTTGTCCTCTTCATCTGATGAACCATCCAAGCTCCTTAGCTCATCTGATTCTCCCTCAATTTCTTCCTACAATTCAACCTCACTCACATCCAAGTTCTCATTCAACCTTGATATAGGATCCTTTACAACCCCCTAATCATGTACATCCAACTTCTTCCCAAGACTTCTTGTTACCTCCTCCAAAATCTCTTCAAAATTCTGTATAAACCACCTTTCATCCTCACTATCATACTCCTCCTCACCAGGCTCCCAAGTATGTTAATGTCACTCCCATCAGTAGAAGAATACCCTCCTCACTCCCAGATTCACTGCCCTCACTATTATCCTCAAAAACCAATCCTTTAGCTACAGATTTCTTTTTCCCCTTCCCCTTATCCAACACCCTCTCACTACCAGAAACCTTTTCAAACTTAGCTTTACCTTTCCCCTTATCCAACATCTTCCCACTACCAGAAACCCTTTCAAACTTAGCTTTACCTTTCCCCTTATCCAACAACTTCCCTCTACCAAAAACCCCCTCTCTCTTAGCAGAGACCCCTTCACTCTTTCCTATCCCCTTACCCTTATCCTGTCTAGATCTTGGTTTAGGAGAATCTTCCCTTTGACTCCCCTCAGGGTTAGTTTTGTTAAGTCTTGGGGTTCTTCCTAACTGGTACAGTCTTTCCTGTACTTTTCTTCCCCTTTCTCTCAGCCTTTTCTGGAGTGGACTGGGCCTCATGGATGGGCCTTAAGGGTTCATCTGCAGTCACAAAAACTTTCACATATCCTTCCCCATTGACTGTCTCTAACAACCCCTTCATTTCCTCTTCATTTACTATTTCCCTTCTCCCTGTGTTAAAGGTCCTCCCTCTTTGTTTATACCAAAGTCTATAGTTTGGAGGGACATGGACATTATAATTCACAAACCCATGCACAGCAGCTTCCCTCAAATAATGTACATCTATCTTATCCACTACCACATCCCTCCTCCAATAACATAACCCACCACACCAGCAAAGCAAATGTTTTGTTTTTTACACTCTTTTGGGAACAAAAGCACCCCCAATTCTAAATATTATATCAATTAATCCTTCTTGGTTGTTGGCCATTTATCTACCCAATAAACAGATGCAAAGCAAGTCAACAAAAGCCAACATATCTTACCCCAATTACACAGTCAAACGCACTTACTTTAATCAACAAAAGCAAACATATTTTAAACCAAAACAAGGACAAACTAGTCAACAGGTCAACAAAATCAATGAATAGTAAATAATTAACCAATTACACCAATTCATACTTAAATTAATCACATTCTACTTTAATTACAAGTTCGCACAGTACACAAAGTAAATCACACCCAATTTTACTGGTTTTAGGGTTCCTACTTTTTTTCCCAAATTACCCTACATTCCTCATGAAAATGGCATAATTAACATCATTAGTTGCTGAAAACTTCTTTAAAAGGTTCAAAAGGTACCTCTTTTGGAATCTTACTGCCGTTGCTGTCAGAATCCACGAAAAATCCAAGCTTTTTGGATGTTGAAATGGCTAACGAAGTCTCGCTGAGTTGTTTTGCTCCAATACTGATACCTCCCCTTGCAATTCAATTTCTCAACCACACAATTCACTCTAGGGTTTGATTCTTGAGAGTAATTTTGGTTGTTGAATATTAACAGAGAGAATTCAATGAAGGAGGAGTAGTTGGGTAATCAATGGAAGGAAGTGAATCGAATTGAAGAGGATGAAATTTGGAGGGTAAACTAATTTGTGGGCCCCACACATATTTTCCATCACAGATTCTGTTATCTGGTGGTGAAACCAAAATTTTAATTTTTTAAGTGGTGTTATAATAAAACTTTGAAATTTTGTGGTGTTATAATCAAAATTTTGTGTTTTTACTGGTGTTATTTTCTAATTTAGCCTTAATTTTATTATATAACTAAGTGAAACCTAGCCCCTAATTACAAAAATGCTTGTAAAAAATAAAACAAGATTGAAAATTATTACCATGAATATGAGAATGTGAAGAATTGTAGTCTTCATGGTCATTCTCCTCTATTACATTCTGCAAATCATCTAGCCCAAAAAGCTCCCAAAATTCATTATCATTAATCCCTCCAAAATCAAATTCTCCATCCATCTTCCTAACTATAATGAAGTGCAATTACAATTGAGGTATTTTGGAGAGGTGAAGTTCCATGAAAGGTAGAAGCTTTTCGGGTTAAAAGATTAATGGTGGAATGTGTATAGGGGAGTTGGAGTAAAAAGCGAAATCAATGTTTACGATTTGTGAGCTGGGTAATTTACCCACAAAAGTCAAAATTAAAAAATAAAAAATAAAAAAGTAAAACATTGGCATTGGCATGTGAAACTTAGTGCACTTAGAAGGAAATTAGGAAAGTAAAATATAGTAGGTCAAAAGGGGGTGTGCGGTTATCAATTTGGGGTGTGCGGAAATCAGTGGCCTAGGCTGGGTATTATGGGATAAGTGTCATATAAAGAGTATTCTCACTCTAAGTCCATAAGTAACTGTGTAGCACTTTTTCTTTGGAACAGGATTTCGGATCAATCAATTCCTAGGTTCTTATCTTAAAGACTTTTTTTTCACTATTGCATGCTCGGTATCGGTTATCTGATCTATAACAACCGGTTTCTTTGATCAACACTTTGTTCCTTCGTGGATCTGCTCTTGAATACGTGAGGGAACTATCTGTGAAGATGGCACTCTCCATCTCACTGTGGATATGGATTTAGCCTATGAAATTAATTGGGATTTCAATTCAAATTTACCGGGTTGTCTTTTGCAGCATTTGAGACCAATAAAAATCATTACGGGCAAACAAAGAGTTAATATGTATTAGATTTTATCCTGTACATACTAAATTCAACTCCCTTCTTGTTGTAATTAGATGTCCACATGTGATTTTGGGTTTGATGAGAAATGTTTGTGCATTATGATACTTGCAACACCAAGGGAGAACAACATATGCAGAGTAACTTTTGTCGGTGCACATTTTCATGTTGTCAAAAAGTAGTTTGTACTAGTTGTGAAGTGATAATGCTATCTATATATCAGGTGGAATTGGTTTTTTCGGGGGGAAAATAAGCTACAAAATAATTATGAGAAAATAAGGTGAGCAGTACCACGAGTAGTTTTACATTAATTTTAGGGTTGTCGGGAGTGTTCTTCAACAGAAGCAATTTTTACATTAATTTACTCTCAATCAAACAATTGTATGTTATTTGATTTCATAAATAAAGACAAAGATGATTGATTTCTTTTTATGACTTCAAGAAAATTTTAGAAATTTTACTTCAATGTGAGTTAGTTCTTTAAAAAAAATCATATTGATAGGACATTTCAACTATTATACTCAATATTTCCCTTTTGGAGTTTGAATTAGTATCAAGGAGTGTTTAAGAAAAAAAAAAAAAACAGAAAGTAGCAAGAGCAGAAATTACAGAATAAACATGACAGTGAATTTCATTGACTTCTAACAATCTTTCATCAGAAATATACATCATATGTACGAACCACTAAAGCAATGATCTGACTCAATCTCATATGCAACAAAAATCAGCTTCCGTAAACCTTCCCTATGAATCACCAAACATACCACGAATTATAGCCCCCCGCCAATATAATTTACATCTAAAAACCATATTCAGACCCCAATATCGAACAGCCTTTAACAGCACAGATTCCCTCTCCTGTGGGTGTTGATTAGAACTATAGCCTCAATTTCCTACAGCAATAATAATGTCTGACCAAAACCTCCAATTTAAGGTACCCAGGAAGAGTAAAGGTAGATTAAGGGGCATGTTTCGTGCATCCACATAAGATCACCAAAAACGGAACCTGAAGAGCACTGAGTGCATGTGCGGCCACTCCATAATCTTGCTTTTGTCTTTAAGTGAAAAGCATCTTCAACTCTTCTATGCGTGCACTTCGGACTTCTTGATCAGTCAGTGCACCAGAAATCATCCTCTGTTTTCTAGCCTGTACAGCCTCCATTCTTTCCTCCACCGTTCCCTGATGCAGTGTATTGTTAGCGGTCATTCAAAATCAACCCAAATACTGAAAGTCAATCGAACGTTCATGTTGAATAACACATTAACACATTCAAAGATAAAGTGTTTGGACCACATAAAAGCAATAAACAAACCCTGTAAATGGTCCTTTAGGACACTTGGGAAGTGCAAATCCCATAATTGAATTTTCTAGTAGCTACAACATAGAAAGGGATCTATAGGAAATGGGCAGCTTGTGAAACATGACTTCTAATGCCAGTAGATTGGTGGAAAAACCCATTTGTTTCAAATAAAATAGGTCCAAAATGAAAAAAATTACCTTGATAATGAATCTTTTAATTGATACAGGCTTAGTTTGGCCAATCCGATGAATGCGCATGACTGCTTGTTCTTCAACAGCCGGATTCCACCATGGATCCTATATACGCAACACCAACAGTAAAGATGTGGATCACATGACTGAATAACAGCAAGGACAATCCAGTAAATATGCAAAAGCAAACAAAATTCACAAGTTTCACGAGCAGCCATTGTCCATGATTTTTAGTAACATTGAAAATGCAAATTTACAAGGCCAGCAAAACTTGTAGTTTCAGTTTTATATATATTGAAAATAGTCTCATATTTAATGCTTTCTCGCACATCAGGTAGCTGCAGCAAGTTGCAGAATCCATAATGCAAGTACTAGACCTACCGTGTAATCATACATTATACATTTCAAAACATTAAAGAGGCTTCTAGTCCAAACATTTATAAGATAGCTTATTCCCTTCCTGTACTATCCTCATAATCACAAAAAACCAACAAACTAGAATCTGATCAATATACTGAACCCTAGTGTTGATTTACCATATGCAATTATAAGAATTGACTTCTAAATGTTCATGTGAAAACCATAATAATAATACACAGATTTCTTAGAACTCCAAGTTCTTATTTTAAATAAAATGTGATGAGCAAAGAAAGAAGTACTCTTTCAGCCAACCTAATCAAGAAGTTACTAACATAATATTAAACGGAAAATAAAACCCACTAGCAGCTAATGTAGATGCATTTTCTCAAGTAGAATCAAAGATTTAACGGATATACAAGTTAAAAAATGTCTATTGGCACCAAAGGCATAGTAATGTGAACTAGCAACTACTGTAATTGCATTTTGCCAATTAGATTAAAAAATGCTACGGAGTATTATATAAATCCAACAGTATCCTCAAGTTAATGCACATTCAAAAACAAAGAAAATATAAATAGGTATCAATAACACGAAAATAATCACTGTTGTATTAGAGAAAATCATCAAACAACCAAAACACAGATACTGATTCAGCACCTACCAGGACAAAAGCATTAGAAGCAGCTGTTAGGTTAATTCCCACTCCGCCAGCCTTTAATGACATGAGCAAAACCTATTATCCACATACAAGTTTAATATAAGAATATAGCACCTAGAAGACAACAGTTTATTCTAAGCAAATGTTGAGCATTGTAAAGAGCATAAATAGAAAGTCCAAAGTAAATTTGGACAAACCATGACATCACTATCTTCAGAAAACTTTTTTAATACTCTCTCACGTTGCTGTTGATTTAAAGTTCCATCAAGGCGAAGAAAAGATAGGTTATTCCTGCATTCAAAAAAAGCCAAAGTAACTCCCAAGTACAAAAAAAATATATCAATCCAAAGAAAGCTATGTAACATAGCACAAATTCAATCACTTTAGATAACAATGTCAGATTTTAATAGTCAATCATAAGTACACAGCTTCAGATACGCAGTAAAATAAAGAATTTTTCGGAAAAGTGTTGATGCTAAAAACACCTTCGATCAAATTGCAGCAACATCCAAACACAATAGACAAGGTCTTTCAGCAAGCCTTTCCATAAAGACAAGGAAGATAAGCTACTAAAAAAACAAATAAAAATATGCCAAGTTCTCTACCATCTGAAATCTGTACAGTACTTGTGTGTAGACAATGCAAGAGCTACACAGATTTAAATGTGACACAAATTAACAGGCAGCCCTAATTAACAGTGAACTTGATTTTGTATGATTTTATGTCATCCTGCAAGTACTAGAAGTGTTATTAATGAGTACTTAAATAGGCGACAAGTATTCCAGAAAAAGCACTCAATAGTGTAAGAGATAAATAAAACCACTGATAGACCTACAAGTCTCAAACCAAGTTTTGTTTATGGACAGTGTATCATCCAATGCATATAGCAAAGCTAATAACCTAACAGCCCCACCAGAATAAAGAAAATTACCGAGCAAGAGGAATCTCTAACAGGTCCAGAAAGGCAGTCCATTGGCTAAAGACAATGCTTTTGGATCCTGAAGATCGTAAATTTTCCAATTCACACAACAATGATGAAATTTTCGTAGACTCAACCCAATTTTTCTCGACATCTATTTGAAATCTACTGTCAGTTGGAGCTGTGATGAGATCGTGCTTGTTCACCGATTTCCTGAAAAAAACATCAAATCTTTTGAGACTGAAAAATATTGATCTTACAGCGCAAACAAATAGGAAAGTCTTGAGGGCAGAAAAGCAAGGATATCAATAGGGTGGTAGTATTACATTGCACTGGATGAATATAAAACAGGGAAGAGGAGCCAGGAGAAGTACAATACAAAAGAGAAACAGGATAAACTTTGGTAAGCTGCTGAAGAAACTGAACATACCTGCAGACCGGACATAAACCCGAAGCAGATTTTTGCCAACTTGCCAAAAGGCACTCCCGACATAAGCGATGAGCACAAGGAGTCAAAACTGCATCTTCAAAAGCTTCAAGACATATTGGACACTCTCCTTGCTCACCATTCTTGAGCTCATCTACAACCTCTTGAATATAAGCTTTCGATGGCACAACTTTTGCTTCACCTTCAGCAGTACCACGACCACCTCTAAGAAATCGTTTGGCAAGCTTATCCAGGTCAGCATAATCTTGTGTATCACCTCGACTGCACACATTAAGCTAGTTTCAGAAACGATGTCCACAAAAACAGAAGTATGGGAAATAGGGTATGGAACATGATTAGAAATGAATAACTCAGCATCGAACATACAATAAAGCAACAGAAATTATGAGGAAATTCTGCAACTGACATAATAAAAATATTTGACGCCCAAATTTTCCTATCAACCAAAGTACATTAGGATAATTAAACTAGAAGATCTTAAGAGAATTTAAGTTTTTAATTGAAAAGGTCCTGCTATAACTACAAAATCATTGGAGAGCATCAGAAAGCATTGTTATTACACAGTAATGCATGTTACCAAGATGAGGTATAAGCAAAATATAATGAAACCACAAACAGCATCAAGCTATCAACAAGGCCAGCCACTAAGGTAGTATGTCAACAAAAATCGCATATGGAGATACCAAAAAAGAGATGAGATGTAATCCACACCTCATGACAAGAAATGGATGATCACAGCATTGCCGAAGTCGTAACAGTAGTTCTAATATGGAAGCGTAATTATGCAAAACCCGCCCTTGCTCCACAAATCGATCAAATTTCACCTGCAATATACTTGAGATATGAGATATACCAAAGATGGAGTATGCCAAGACAAAATCTTCAGGATAAACCGATGCTAAGAAAGATACCTTAGATTTTTTAAACAAAGCCTCATAAAAGTCCTTTTCAGCTTCTGTCAGCTCACAATAAACCACCTGGATATTGGCTGGAGGCAGGACTAAAATAGGCCTGAGTGAACAGAAAAATGACGAATTAAACTAAACAATTGAACAGACATCACATTTCTCTCAAAAATGGGGTGATATACGTGTATTAGTCTAACTAGCTCACCTTCCATCTCGATCCACACTGTACTTTGTTCTTCGTAGCATTATTGGCCTTAAAATGGAGTGAACTAGTTTCAATCCTCTTTCATCACCTTCGTCAAATGGCTTTTGAACGAGTTTATTCCACCTGTAGATGAAATTCACTAGACGACTTGAAAATCATTCCAACTGACAAACATGTAATAAGGACAAGCAAACTTAAATCTTCTTAGTGTTAGATACTAGAACTAATGAATCACCACAACTGCATAGGATTTAAGGATTCCTCCCCATTCTACTGCAAGGTATCATATCACATTTACCCCGAATCACAGAAACTGGTTAACCATACAGCCCAAACCAACTAATATTTAAAAGACTAGTGTCAGAAGCTCATAATCCAACCTTAAAATAATAAAAATAAAATAAAAAGAAATTTGTTATGCAGGCACAAGTTTCAATCTTCCATTAAGAAACTTTACTAAACTAGTGAACAAATAGTTGCTATCTTTCATATAACAATCTTCCCAAGATGGAAAAGAAACGGAGCAGAAGATTACCATGCCCAATTTCCCCATGGCTCCACCTTTAAAAATCGAAGAAGACTAAATATGTCCTCAAGATTGTTCTGAAAACCAAAAAATCAGATGTAAGTCATCATAACTTGAACAAAGTATAGTTCTCGTAGATGATTTCAAAATACTCCAGGTAAGGGGCAGTATTTAAAGCAAGCATTACACAACAAAAGATAGTATGCATTACATTCTAACTGCAGATAAAGCATTACACAACAGAAGGTATGTATTAGATTCTAACTGCAGAGAAAGTATTACACAACAGCTGAAGGTATGCATTACACTCTATCTGCAAAGAATTATATAGCAGCAAATTACCCAAAAAATTGCCTGGATAAACCAACAAATATAGTAGAATATTAAGCTTTCAGATACCAGTTTTCTTCAGGGCGTAATATTCTTTAAGTTCAAAAAATTAATCATAAAACTTGACACTTTAGAACACCCATATACAGAATCCTTGAGTGATTCCAAAACACTTGCAGAGTTGATAAAAAGAATCAAGAAATATTAACTCTATTCTTAATTTCACCCCTCTTTTGGGTTATCTCAAAAATATAACATGTTTCTATTCAAGTATACTTTCTCTTTCCTCTCTTCATCACATCAACCCCTTTTTTATCCACTTGCCAATATTTCTAACTATTTCTCTGTCTGTCCACCACCATAATTTTTACAGGCACTAAATAAATATTCTAGATATTTTAACCAAACAAAATTTTGATAAATATTATTAGAGAAAGGGTGGCACACTACACAGACAGGATTACTAAAACAAAGGATATTAAATAAAAGGATAAAACAAAAGGGCAATATATAATAAGAAATTACATATATATTAAAAAGAGATGTCACCTGGATAGGAGTGCCAGTGAGACACCATCTAGAATAAGCTGTTAAAGCATTAGCAGCCACAGAAATTTGGCTTTTTGAGGACTTAATTGTGTGTGCCTCATCAAGCACCACTCTTAACCAACGTATAGAATGAAGAGCACCACAGCCTTCAGTATTCTGTACCAAAGAGGAAGATATAGAAAATCAGGTAAAGTGACAATGTGGCAAAAACTCTAACATCATAGCAGGCTCCAATCTACCTCAGATGAAAATTCTGAAGCTAGAACTCCATAGGTGGTGAGAACAACATCATTTTGAGCCAAGAGTTTAGCATCCTTTGATCTACCTTGTCCATAATGAACATAAACAGAGAGGGAACCAGGCAGAGCATGAGTTTCTATCTCTGCCTGTCAAAAACAAAAGTGAGCAACAGCCTGGTGATTTGCATAATATGAAGACTGATACCTTTAAGAATCTGAAAAAACATTAATAAGCAAATACCTTCCATTGGCTAAGGAGTGTCATAGGACAGACAATAAGATTGCCACCATCCATAAGAACATTCTCATTTTTCATCTGCTTGTCAATGCCCTGAAACTTTGCAACCTTCTTAGTTGGATCAGGAGATGCATCAATGGCTTTACTGAGCTCCGTACTTTCACCAGAAGAAAGGCTCAACTGGCTACTAGGTGATCCAACTCTCTCTGAATTAGACAGGAGAAGGGATATGGTCATGACTGTCTTTCCAAGACCCATTGCATCTGCCAGAATCTAAAAGCACAAACCAGAATCAAGATAGAGCATTTATATAGTAAAAAAGATTAGTGTTTATCCATTAATAGCACAAGAGACATACTCCTCCCCTAGCCATTTGAAGTGTACTCGGAAATTCCATAGTTGCTTCACCAGAAAATGAATTCAAGTAGACAACAAGGTCTCTCCTGCAGAGCACAAAATTCCAGCTCAAATATATATCTTATTTCACAAAACACTACTGACTCCTATATACTAATTCTCTGTAGTAAAGTAGATTTGAACCGAACATAACATACTTGTCAGCCAGGCGATATGCTTCCCAACATGGGTGAAGAGTAGAAGCAGCCTCATCAGTGGTTTGTCCCCTCTCCAACTGGACCATCCAATGAAGTGCCTGCTTCTGATAGGGACGGAGTTTGCAAAGAAGGGTGCTTGGCGGATCCATTTCCTGTAATATTTTACATGAAAGGTTAGTGGACTACTTATACAAGCTCAGATTGCACAAATAGAGATTGTGGAAAAAACATGATACCTCCAGCGTAGAGCTGTCTCCAACTCCAACAATGCTATCAACATCAGCATCGGATACACCTTCCTCACCTTCAGCATTATCTACATCTGATGTCAAGTTCTTTACATTCTTGGCATTCAACAATGAGGTGCGTAGACCTTCCTGTTCATACAAATTTCAAATTAAACACAAGGTTATGTACCACAGAATTTGGTCACCTAGTAAACATGAGCTATACCGTAGAATCCAAAGACCGCTTCCTTGTGTACAAATTATCAGGAGTGAACTCAGCCTACATTGCAAGAGAAAGCCGAATGTTAATACATTTGCTAAGCGTTTAAAAGTGTAATGCAGTACTCCAAATGCAGAAAGGTTTGAAAATCATTGAACTACCTTTTTAAAAGGAGCTATCCCAAGCAACCTGAATAAATTTGGCAACGGATGAACAACTGTTTCCTCATTTGAATTAGCAGCTGCTTTCAATGAATTTTGATGATGCTTCTGGAACATTGAACTGTTGATGTAGACACTGAATAGAAAGCAAAGTGCACACATGTTAGGCAGTATAAGCAACAAAAGTACTTAATACCCTTAAAAGTGCACACATGTTAGGCAGTATGAACTACTAAATTTCAGGTATCCTGCAATTAATTTCCCGAAATCGTACCGAAACAATCCTCTTTGATTAAGTTTATAACATATCTCAAATTAGACAAACACATCAAAACTAAAGCATTTCATTTTCCAAGCTTAACCAATACTCACCTCACATTTAACGCAATGGTGTCCATAATACCCAACATTTCAGGAGCAAATTTACAAAATCCTTCAATTTTAATCTTCTTATCTCTCACAAGGGGCAACAAACACCTTGACCACTCATTCGGAATCCGGCCAATCTGCAAACAACATTATCAAACGCAACAATGAAAGCAACAATATCAATACAAACTGCACCAAGTAAAAATCTTCCAAACAATTAAGTACACCTACCTCGCCGCCGCTCTTCGTAGAAAATCTAACAATCTCAGAACAAGCCCCAGCCTGTTTTCCTCTACCAAAAACCTTTCCTGGTAAAGGCGAACTCGAATTCAGCTTGTTCTTCACAGGAAACGCAAAATCAACTTCATCTCCAACCTTAATCCCCCTCCCTTTACTCGTCGACATTCCGGAAATCTCACCATACCCAACAAAACACCACTCTTCGCCTACCGGCTTCGAACTCGAACAAGAAATCGCCTTTTCCCTCTCCTGCACATCAATTACCACCATTTCTTTACAAACCACTTCCTCATTTGATTTAGAATCCTCATTTTTATCCTCAATCGTGATCAAATTCGAGCTAGGAATCTTCACCCTCTGACTCGAATTAATTCTAGGGTTTTGCCGACTTTGTGAAATAAAATTGGGGGTATCGAAAATAATGTTAATTGCACCGGTTGCATCATTGTTCGCCATGTGAAGAGCTCTGATTATGTCCATTTCAGCGTAATCTTGCCCTACTACTGACCGAATTGTTTCTATGACTTCATCTTTGATCTTGCAATTCATACTGTAGTTTTCCGATTGTAAACCCTAAAATTGAATTCTATGAATATCGATGAAATGAGGCGAAAATGTGGGAAATTGAGAGGATTTATGGTGTGTTAGGGTTTTGTTGAGTTCAATTGATGAGATAAATTGAAGAAGAATGGGAGAAATTGGCGGGATTTAGGGTTTTGAAGAGGGAGGGAAATTGGGGAAATGGCGCTTGGTTGAGGAACTGAATGGACAGTGAAAGTATGTAAATTCCCGCCATCTCTTGAACATTATAGATGCACAGGTAAAAATCATTTTTTTTTTTTTTTTAAAATGTACAAGTAAAAATAAAAAATAAGTGTTTGATCATCGATATGAAAGAGCGATGTTCACATAAATTATCTGAAAGGGATAAAAATCTCACCTTTCTATGTACTTGTCAAAAAAAATAAACTAGCCTTTTGGACTAGGAAAATTGAACAAGAAAAAACTTAATAATTTTTTATCCCTTATAATCTCAATGAATATTTTAGGAAAAAATATTGTAACCATTATGTGATTGAAATTTTATCAATTAAATTAATGAAAGTTAAGGAGTAAGGGGAGAAAAGATTACTTGTATGTGAATTGAATAGTGAAGTGTATACTGCTGATGAAAAATGTTGAAAGGATTTAAAGGGTTGGCCCCGGTTAATCAAGTGGCAATATTGTAAATTGGAGCTTTGGTATTTGTGCTTTATTAATTTAATAATTCATTATACCGTTTTGCTCAAGTGGAATAGATTACTTCCATCTTCTTCCTACACCCATAATTATTATTTACCATTGAAGCTTCCTCTTTCGGCTCCACCAACACCAACACCATCTCCGTCCTCTTTCGTCACCCATAGAAAGTTGAGTACTTTGTACTTAAATACGGAGTAGCAATTTAGAATTCACCAAAAAAAAAAAAATAGCAATTTAGAAAAAAAAAAAATTAAATAGCAATGTTGTTGGCGCCAATAACATTAAAGAAGGAGCATGTACTAATGAAAAATTCAAAGACCAAATGTTAGTGGCGGGTAATAGGATTGAAATTAAAACAGATTTCCCGCCTCTTACTATTATTATGCTTTGTGTAACTAATTTTTGGCACGTTTTCATATGACTTGCATCACATTTGCATGTTTTATTATGGTACTGACTCGGACGATCCGATAATTTAACTCGGTGCGACATGACTAAACTCGGTTTGGGTCCCTTTCTTATTTTTCTATACTCATTTTCTATGTAAAATCGTCCGGTCTTACTATTTAGGCAAAAAAAAATTCACACTCTACGTTTCGTATTTGATTATAAATTACTCTTTCCGTATTTTAATAAATATATTATTTAAGTGGTGCACATACTTGATCATTAATCATATCTTATACTGTGTATGAAATAAAATTATAAAAAATAATATAGTGAAAATATGCATCTTGACAGTCCAACTAAAGTTAACATGATGACATTTGACTTTTAGATTTTAATAAAAAATCAAGTCTAGTAAGTGAATAGTGTAAAAGTTAAAGTTTCCTTAAAATGTGAAAGTTAAAGTAATGCACTTATTCAGATGTAGAGGGATGACTTTTTTGTGTGAATTTAATGAGTTATAAGAGCAATACAATTTATAAATTTGTTCTTATGGACAAATTGTCCATTGATTAATAAAAGGCACTAATCGGTTTTTCGCAAAAAAAAAAAAAAAAATAAATAAATAAATAAATAAAATACAATTTATATTTAAGATGGGGTATTTTGATCATGTAACTTGTTTTACACAGACTTTTAGCTTAATCGCTAGGTCAAGACCTTGTTGGTTGATTCAATTATACTTTTTGCACATTTCAATTGACATGATTGGCTAAAGTTTTAAGGGTGTTATTCGAGACATGTGATACAATCTCGTTTACATTATTACACATGTGGTTAATAAAAAAAAAAACAAAAGGAGCAATGATGTTTGCACAAGATTAATTAAGAAGCGAGGACATAAAAAAAATGAAAAATTAGGTGTCAAGTTGGCATAGGGGTAAAAGTAAAGCTGGGCAAGGGCCGGGTTGGCCTGCGGACGGCCCAGCCCGGTACGAAAGTCGGCATGGCACGGCCGTTGCCTGGCGTGCCGTGGGCCGTGCCACGGACAAAATTTGCAAATTTCCGGCACGGCCTAACACGAGCCCGCGTGCTGGCCCGGCCTGGCACGGCCAATAACGACTATAATTAGAGTCGTTGCTCTTCCCCTCTTTCCAACGGCCATTAACGACTCTTTTTCCCAATTTGCCTATAAATACCAAATTTCACTTCACTTTCAAATCACAATTCAATTCAACTCATCTCTCCTCTTAATCTCTAATTCTCTTAATCTCTTAATCTGTTATTCTCTTATATTCTCTAATTATTATTTATTAATATCGAAAAAAAATTAAAAGTTCGTAATCGTAATTAGTGGAAAGCGTTGAAGCACGGTTGTAAGATCTAACTAATCTTTATTATAGTTGTTAATATTATTGTTATTACTTATTATTGTTATAATTATTGTTATTAATTATTGTTATTGTTATTGTTATAATTGTCGTTATTAATTATTATTATTGTTATTGTTATAATTGTCGTTATTAATTATTATTATTGTTATTGTTATAATTGTTGTTATTAATTCTTATTATTGTTATTGTTAAAATTGTTATTATTGTTAATTATGGCATCACCAAACATGAACAACCCATCATCCTCTAGAAAAGTCTGACTTGTCCGTGGTAATAATTCTAGGGAATCACCTAATCCAATTACCCCCCAATTTCAAGTTCGACCAATGACCCCGTTAACGTCCCCCTAGGCTTTGAACAATTTAGGCACGATAATACTTCCGGTTTTCAACCCTATAACATGAATAAAATGCCCCAATTTCCACCACCAAACCAATTTCCACAATGCGGTCAATTCCCACCTAATTTCTTTGACCCACAAATTTTAATTCTAGTCAAGGTAGCCAACAAGATACCCTAAATGCCTCCGGTTCTACTACTAACCAACAAATCCCCGAATCTACAAACACCCAATTCCCAAACACACAAGAGCAATGGTTAACCGAAAGTGACATGATAAATATCAAAAGCCGCAAAAGTGATGTATGGCATTATTTTCTGCTAAATAAAGCCCAAACAAGAGCAAATGTAAGACATATGGTAATATATACTCGGCACAATCCAAGTCTGGGACAGGACACGTAAGAATACACATGAGAAGTTGTGCAAAACCAGCTAGTGACCCAACCCAACCAAAAATTTCCCAATTCCATCCACACGGCTTTACCTACAACTATGAGAGGGATAGGGATGAACTAGGGAAAATGATAGTACACGCCGAACAACCTTTTCTTTTCTCCGAAAGTGACCCATTTAACACTTACATTAACAAAGCATTACAACCCCAACATAAAAGAATCTCTAGGAAAACCGTTCGTTCCGCCGTCATGAAAAACTTCCTAGAGTACAAAATGCGGTTACAAGACGAATTGAGTAAACTTAATTGTAGAGTGTCTTTGACTGCCGATTCTTAGGATAGTGGTTATAAATATCACTATTTATGTGTGACTTGCCATTGGATAGATGATCAATGGTTGTTACAAAAACGAATAATCCATTTTAAAATGCTGGAATACCCCCACATCGGTATTAACATTGCTCACCATTTAATGGATTATTCGTTTTTGTAATGGTATTAGCAATGTAGATAATATTGTGATTTATGGGATCGATGCATGAACAAATGTTATGGTGGAATATATAGTATTTCTTTGAATGTCATTTCATTTTCAGATTTAAGGATAATGATTATAACACGATGGCAAAGATGATGAGACCAAATGCTATTGAAATGTTTATGGTAATACTCCGTACTAATCTTTAGTGTTACATTGATGCGTGAAGTGTTCAAACTGCTGCGCGTGAAGTGTTCATGACACGTATTTTAATGACTACATGATATTTATTGTTGACCATAAATCATTCTAGTATTTATTTGACGGTGAATGTAAATTGTAGTTTGCATTGTGGTGAGCTAATGATAATGACTATTACATGGATACTTATAATTTCGAATAAAATAGATAAAACAAGTAGTATACTATTACTAATTTACATGTTAATGCTCTATAATGACATGCATACTATATGTATTATGTTGATTGATGTGTGATTATATTCAATTATAGTATTGTGTACCTACTTGAAGTTAGATTATTGAAATCAAAGTAAATTGAACATGATGTGCGGACCTGAAGTTCCTTAGATTTATGAAGAGTACTCACGTACATAGACTTAAAGTTTCTTGAACTTATAAAGGGCCCAAAACCCTTAAGAATAATACAAAGAAATGTGCATGATCTACAAAGGTAAAACATATTGCTTAGGTATCCACTACATACTAATGTGATTTTATAAACACAATAATGATGATAATAATACAAAAGATTAGAAAAGTTGACATAATGTCTTTAATTTGGTGGTTATTATAGGTACCACACTTTGGGTGATTATTAATGATTCATAGATTACTAGGTTCTAATACCCAAAAATGAGAAATAATTGTATGATTGAGATGATACATGCATGTTTCCGTGATAAATATAATTCATGCAAAAGTTATACGATCTGCAATTTAAACATGATTGCACAATATCTATTTGAGCAAGATAGATGACATTGTGGGAAATTTACTTGTAAAATATATTTATTATGCCCATATTTATAAGATAATAATATAATTGGGCAAGAGGTATGAATAAGAGTTTATAAGAATAACTTTACTATGCTTGATACATGCATTGGTAAAAGAATTTATGCCTTAAAAGTTGGATGAGATTTAATGTTGGATTCATTTTATGCCCCATATGCAAGGATTAGGGGGAGATTGTATTTATTCCATTATTTTATGTAATCCTTGCACATAAATAATAAAATATATTGATGGTCAGTTTAGTATATACATTAACTTAAATATCAACGATTTATTTAATAGAAGTGGCTACATATTAATTAAATATTTTTAAATGATACCAACCTACATCTGGAAGATGGATATTTATTTGATGTCCCAGAAGGACAACATCAATTGTTGATGAACCTATAGTACGCGTGATAGATAAATAGGTTCTAAAGATAATTAAGCAACTTCGGAAAAAAAAAAGGAGCCACTATTGACAATGACAAATTTGAGAAAGTGATAAATTCCATTACATTTCTAGAAGAAATCACTTTTCGTAAAATTCATATGTTCCATGACTATATAATAGGCTCCAAAAGTGTATGAAATGTCCAACAAGCTTAGCATGTATCAAGATTATAATCAAAGCTTTAGCGGAGTATAAATTCATATTGGATCAAGTATTAGTTGATTGCC